GGGCCCCCCGCCACTCACACACATCTCTCCCAACACTCTTCCCTCCCCCTCCAGAGGGCAGGGATACAAGCTCTCTCCCTGTGGGACACCGCCACTGCCAGACTTAGCGTATGCATGGCATGGAGGGAAGCCAAGCCACCCCATCCCCCTCCTCCCACCCGCAGGCTCCTGGCCTGGCCAGCACCTTCCCATGCCTGCTTGTCCCCAGATGTGGGAGTAACGAGGCTCCTCCCTGGGACATCTGTGCCCCTGCAGGAAAGTGCCCGCTGTCTAGACCTCAAATGGCCTTGCTTGAAGCACATCGCCTTCATCTGACCTGAGACCTTTCAGTGTCAGCTCAGAGATGAGGACTCCTGGGATAACTGCCCTTCTCTTTGTTCTTCACAGCTGAACCATCTGCAAGTAGGGCGTGAGCTACATCTACCGTGCCAGCCTCCCTACCTCACGATAGCCGCAGGTGCCGCTGACCCCGTGAGGACCTCCAGCGGGAGCACGTAGCCTGCCTCCATTCCCCCCAGTAGTCTCTGGACCAGCAGGAGCAGAGGTTAGAGGCGGATCTGGAGGAGCGCTGTGCTGACCATACACTGCTCTACTTGGTGGGAGCTGTCTCAGGAGGCCTGGAGCATGTGCATGGCATACAGTGCTTCTGCCAACCGCATGGTCACTATGATTGAGTGGTGTAGCAGCTGCCCTCCCCCGCACCTGCTCCTTCCCAAGACCTCCTGGTACCCATTCCCACCCCTCTGGCTTCTGCCCCTAGCCTCTGTGATCACTGAGGGCACTGCACATGAGGCAGTGGAACCACTTAAGCAGGCACCAGGTCCCATCCCCATCCCTGAGCCTCTCTTCCCTGCTCCTCCCCCTTTTACCTCTCTCCTTCCCCTTCCCAGGTTCCTTCCCCAGTCCCTCCCCAGTTACATTTACCCCAATAAAAAAAACTCCCATTTCTTGTTCTAAACCAAAAAGTGTGGTTTATTATGTCTGCAGGGGAAGAGGAAAGGGAAGGGAGGGCAGGGGACGGGAGAGGTAGGGGAAGGAAGGAACAGAGGAGCACTGCAGAGGCCCCTTGTGGGGAGGCCCTGGGGAGTGTCACGTGTCCTTGTCTGAAACTCTCCCTCGGGGCCTTCTAGATGCACACAGCTCCCTGATGAGCCTGCTGGATGGCAGCCATGTGTGGCTGCTCAAAGACCCTGGCCAACCGCTCTGCCTCTGCACCCCATCCTGGCAGGAATGTCTCTCCCTCATTTTTGCACAGGTTGTGCAGGACACAGCAGGACAAGACCACTTGGGAGACATTCTGCTTGCCGAGGTCCAGCTGGGTAAGGAGACAGCAGAACCTCCCTTTGAGATGGCTGAAGGCGCCCTCACAAAATGCAGGTGCTGCTGAGCCTGGTGTTAAAATGTTCCTTGGTGGGGTCCAAGTGTCCTGTGTAGGCTTTATTAGTCAGGGGAACAAGGGGTAGGCTGCGTTTCCTATGATGCACATCGGCATGTCCATGTCCCCAACTGGATGGTGCAGTCGGGGAAAAAAGTGCTAGCATGCATCTTTCGGAACAGGCTGGAGTTCCTAAAGAGGTGGGTGTCATGCATCTTCCCCGACCACCCGACGTTAATGTCGGTGAACCAGACCCACTGGTCCACGAGGGCCTGCAAGACCACGGAAAAGTACTGGACGTTAATGTAGTCCGATGCCCAGTGGTCGGGAGCCCAGATGGGGATATGAGTGCTGTCAATGTCCCTCCCCAGCAGTTGGGGAAGCCAATGGGGGCAAAGCCGGCGACAATGGGGTCAACTTTGCCCAGGATGATGACCCTGCGCAGAACGGTGGTGTTGATGGCCCTCACTACCTGAAGAAGGAGACAAACAGAGAATCGCAGAGTTGACAGAGCCCTCACCAGGACAAACCCCTGCCTTAAACCATCCCCAGCAGGGCTTTGTAAAGGCAGGACTGAAAAACGTTTCAAAGAAGGGAGCTTCCACCTCCCCTTCCCTAGGGAACCCCATTCCAGCAGTTCACCACACTCCTGGGACAATAGCACGAGAGTGCTGTACCTGCACGACCACAACCCCAACAGTTGATCTCCCAACACTGAATTGGTTCCCGATGGAGCAGTAGCTGTCCAGCATAGTAAGCTTCCAAATAGCAATGGTGATCTGCTCCTGGAGGGGGATGGCGGGTTGCATGTGGGTGTCCCATTGTGTGAGGGCAGAGGTGAGCCATTCGCACAGCTCCATGAAGGTGTCTTTCCACATGTGGAAGTTCTGGAGCCATTGCTGGTCATCCCAGTGCTCCATGATGATCTGATCCCACCAGTCGGAATTGGTGTCCCGGTGTTGTTGCAGAATCATAGTCATCATTCATATCAGTCATCAATCATCATCATCATCCAGTGTTCACAGGAAGGCTCACCACATTGAAGACAGGATTCTCCTAAAGCCTATTGTTTTTCTCTAATTGTTTTTCTGTGGCCCTTCCCAACCAACTATCTATACTCTGGTCATCTGAAGAAGTGGGCTGTGCCCACAAAAGCTTATGATACCATCTACATGTTTTGTTAGTCTATAAATAAACTTAAAAAAAAAATCAACAAATTTATCTATATTCAAATCATCTTATCTAGTGGGCATTCCTCAGGTGTAACTATATTTGAAATGCAGATAGTTAATATTCATAACTGATACATGTATACAAATAGAATAATCATATTGAGCAAATCATAACCTTTCCAAAGACACCTGACATGACTTATCTTGCTTGAAATACATCATAGCGATGTCATGATTATGTCATACCAATATCACTATGAAGAATACGGGGTGCAGTATCACAGCGGGTTTGGAACAAAATGATAAAATAAACATTAATAAGTCACCAGGACCAGATGGTATTCACCCAAGAATTCTGAAGGAGCTCAGAGAAATTGCAGAACTTCTCACTACAGTAGGTAACCTATCACTTAAATCAGTCACAGTGGGAGACAGAATTCTGGGCTAGACGGACCACTGGTCTGACCCAGCATGGTCATCCATGCTTATGTTCCTACATTTATATGGCACAGATGGGAATACAACCAGTATCTTTCAACTTATAGTTGTTAGTGATATCCCCCAGATGGTGCTGTCTCTCTAAAGAGGTGAGTCACAACAAGATCTAAATCAGCCATACACTATTACAACTTAAGTAAGTGTAATATTTGTGTGTTCAGGAGCTTGTGCACCTGCTCTAGTTTTCTAGTACATTTCTGAGTAATAACATTGAAGATTCTCCTTAGAGCCTCTCTGCGGCAGAAACTCACAGGATGCAATTCCCCTGTCACTATAACCGATTTCAAATGGTGCTAGAAAATAGTATTGACTCTGAACACCAAAAGAAATCAGTCATCCTCTAAAGGGGTTACTGGAACCTGTAGCAAAGAAGAAGTGAAGTATATTAGAAAACTGTACTTTATATCTGAGAATTTCGAAGAACTTTATAATCAGTAATTAATCATAACACCATGCCTCTCATTAGACAATTACAATGCACATTATTACTGATGTCTAAATGGATTCACAAAGATGTCTGGATGCAAATTTTCAGAGGTACTCACTGTGCATGTCTCAAATTCTGTATGACTAACTTTGGACATCTCACCCACAAACCTTCAATCTTGGATACCAAAATTAAGCACTGTAATCCATATTTAGCTAACTACATGAATGAGCTATTTTTCATAGGTACTAATACTGGTGGCTTTCACTGACTATGCTGGGAACTGTAAGTGCTCAGAACCTATGAAAAATCAGATCACAGGCAGCTAAAGGCACAAAAATCAAGGACTCCCTCCTCCCCCATCACCTTTTTCTGCAAAAAGAGAAAACACTTGAATCACAGACACAAAATGATTCAACAGTAGAACTGGGAACAGCAGCTAGATCTACTGACTCTCCCATTACATACACAAAGTCATTTCAATCTCTTCAATAAATAACTAAGGGTATGTCTACACTACCCTCCTAATTCGAACTAGGAGGGTAATGTAGGCATACCGCACTTGCAAATGAAGCCCGGGATTTGAATTTCCTGGGCTTCATTTGCATAAGCCAGGCGCCGCCATTTTTAAATCCTGGCGAGTTCGAACTCCGTGCTGCGCGGCTACACACGGCACGAACTAGGTAGTTCGGATTAGGCTTCTAATCCGAACTAGCTGTACTCCTCGTGGAATGAGGAGTACAGCTAGTTCGGATTAGGAAGCCTAATCCGAACTAGCTACTCTGTGCCGCGTGTAGCCGCGCAGCACGGAGTTCGAACTAGCCGGCATTTAAAAATGGCGGCGCCCGTCTTATGCAAATGAAGCCCGGGAAATTCAAATCCCGGGCTTCATTTGCAAGTGTGGTATGCCTACATTACTCTCCTAGTTCGAATTAGGAGGGTAGTGTAGACATACCCATACAGATTATTTTACAAGGGTAGAGTTAGAGCTAATATATTAAACAGTATCCATGGAGTTGTGTCAGTGTGCTCATTGCTACAAAGAAGGTGGAACAGATGATGTCCCTGTCCTAAAGTGTTTACAATCTATAACACAGGATGTTAGCAGAAACAACTGTGACAAGTTATGTTTCATATACTGCTATAATTCCGCATAACTCATTTTCACCACCTGTAAACATCTCAGCCTCAAAGTGTTCACAGTCTACAAATATAACAAATATGCTGTTGATTAACATTGCGATTGCGCAATTTTTATATCTGAAATTAAAAACTAGACTGTGCTCACTTGGTTTAAGTTTAACCATAGACTCTGCGGTCACAAGCTGGTAGGTCAGATAGTACACTCAGAATTAACAGCTATATACCGTGCTGAAAGCATGTGCGAGAGGACTTGATCTTCTTTTCCATATGCCACCAAGGTTCCCCAGAATTCACTTCCTTCGTTGATGAAGGGAAGCCATTCTTCCTCCAAGAACACTGATTTCAAATGGTGCTAGACACCGAGTAGTTAAATCTAAACCACCATATGAAACCAGCTTCCTGAGGGAGCTTCAGAGTTCTCTACGGTAGATGAGACTTCCTGTTACTACAATGAACTTGATATCACCTAGAAAACAGGCACATACAATTTGTTTTGCATTCATTTCCTTTTCATTAAAGAGTTGGCGATTTTTAATATTACTTCCTCATTCTGGCTTGACCACTCCATGCAGATATTTTACATCCCATTACACTGTTCCCAATGCAGACAGAATCACTGATAGCAAAATAAATAAGCATGCTGCAGGATTCCATTATTTGAGACTTGTGAATGACTACCACGATTTCATTAGATGCTGGATTAAAGCTGACAGACTGATTTATAGCCTCACTCTATTATTTTGCTCTTTTCTTCATTCTTTCTGCTATCCACTTGCCCACAGCTGCATTATCACAAAATGTGTTAATGAGACCAGCATTATTGCAGATCAACACCATGGTGGTAATAAAAATGTGAACCTAAAAGTATAAAATATCCCGTCAGAGGCTGAATTCACTCAATTCCCAATGGCTCCACACGTGACAGTAACACATCACTGTAGTCAGAATTTGCCTTAAACAGAGTAATATAACAGAAAGATTATAATTCCACAGGCAGGGTTATAATAGTGATCTCACCATTGCTAGAGCTCAGCCAGTGTTAGCTGTGGAACGAATTTTTAAGTAAAAAAATATAGGGACAAGCCTGACACAAGAACATGGTTGATGCCAGCTGGGCTCTAGCAGGTACCCTGAGAAGAGTGGGCAGGGATTTCTTCTTAGAACAGTGCTAGACAAATTGTGTTACAGATTTCTTGCTCACTTAAGAGTTGATTCAAATTTTGTCTTTATGACCTGGTTAAAACAAACTTATTTGATTACGTCTATATACACCAAGTTTATACACAATACAACCGCGCAATGATCACATATGCATATCCATACAGATCATTCTTCTTCACTGTATTTGTACAGATGCTTTCTGGGAACAGTCTGGAAGATGTTTCATAATGCATCAGCAGGGGAATGAGAGGACATGTGCACAGCGTGGTAACACCACCATGTGGGACAACCTTTGGCTGGCTTGTTACCATGCACAGGGAATTGAGAGGAAGGAAGACTAGCCAAACAGGTTATGTAGGCAGGCACAGTTAGAGTCCCATCTGCATAGCAAAACAACGGTATTAACAAGTAAGACTGCAATGTGCCAGGCTAGACCTCTTGCAAGTATGCAACATACTCTGTCACCATGGTTACTTAAAGAATTATATAACATAGCTTATGCAAAGACACACACTATGTTTAGAGCAAACCATGTTACGGCCTGGTTATCAACTCTGTGTTGTAGTGTAGGCACAACTTTTATTATAAGGTTTGCAGACAAAAAAGTAGCTGTTCATAAAAAATAGGGAACCCATAAAATAACTTAGGAACCACTGGGTTTAAATATGGGTATAGATTGCTCCCAAGGTTCTATCCCAAATTCTGTACACAGGCTTGGGATACAAAATGCTAACAGTTAAACACAGTTTAAATATAGTAATTTTACTGTGGAGAGAGGTGTTCTCAAAGCATATTACAGGGCCATTGGCTTTGCCATGCTGTATCATGATTGACTAACAGAGCTAAAACATAATTTGGTCCCTTCTATGCTGTAACACTGTAAAACTGAACTGAGTTTTAATTTCTTCTGGCAGTATTGTGCACTAACCAGATCTCATATACAGCAAACTTTCATACTGTAGAAGGGACATAACTATGGAGAGGATCTATGATTGACTGACCAATGGCCACACAGACACAATCCAAAGCCTTCAGACAAAAGTCCTTCTTCAGACTGGTCAGGGAACCATGCTAAAAATCTAGTTAGTTACATCTGTACTGTAACTAGCACGGTTTTGCACATAGTATGGACAGCACTTAGGGTATGTCTACACTACCACCCTAGTTCGAACTAGGGTGGTTAATGTAGGCAACCGGAGTTGCAAATGAAGCCCGGGATTTGAATTTCCCGGGCTTTATTTGCATATTCCCTGCTCATTCGAACCCCGTGCAGCGCGGCTACACGTGGCACGAACTAGGTAGTTCGAACTAGGCTTCCTAGTTCGAACTACCGTTACTCCTCGTGGAACTCCGGTTGCCTACATTAACCACCCTAGTTCGAACTATGGTGGTAGTGTAGACATACCCATAGAGGTAATCCTTGAGAGTGGAACACCTTGCCACCCACAGAAAATATCTAAGAGAATTCCAAAAGGCATGGGAGCAGAGCTTGGATCGTATGTCAACAGAATCATACTGTGTTATACAGAAAGACCAGGAATGTAACATGATTCTCATAACATTATTATGACATTGTTCCATCTTGCCCATACAAGCAAATCTAAGCCAATACAGTGTCATAAACAGTAAAATGTTGATGGGGCTTAAAAGAGGAGGCTTACTTTATGTACTCTAGTTTATCAGTAAGGGTAAACTACAGAGAGAGTGTTGTTTAGACAACAGGATTCAAGTGTTATTCTGTTCACTGTACTTGCATGTGTAAATTAACTTATTCAAAGAAAAAAAAATCAAGTGTTGTAATAGTAAGTGAATATTTCCAGAACATGGATAATGAAAACAACATTTTCAAATAGAGGCTGTCAATTCAAATATGTAAAAGTAAAGAACGATTATCATGAGATAGTCAGATAAAAGTGATACTGATATTGGCCCATCATATTCTCTAATAACTAGACCTTTTTATTTCCTATATGCCCTTAAATATCTTATAACCTCTGCGAGTACTCCCTTGCTGCTTTCCCTGGATTTGATGTTGTCTCTTTATTTAACTACCAGGGGATTACTCACAAGTAAAATTATGCATGTGCTTAAATCAATCCTGGATTAGGGCCAAAAACTGCAGTTGTTTCATTGCTGAACTATTTCCACTAATTTACATGTGATTAATAAGTGAACAGCCAGTCAGAAGCATTCAAAGTCTCTATAGTTAGGCATTTCCTTTCCCCCTTGTAAAAGAATGTCTGTGGTTAAAAGTTCAAAATAAAATGAGAACCATCAGTTTATTTTTGCTAATGAAAACAACAATTGTGGTGCATTACAAAATGTGACTCCAAGATTAATCATAGAGCAGTTTTCACCGGTAGAGACTCTGAAAGCTTTTCCAAAAGGAGTAACATTTCCGTATGGGAAATTCCTAAAAAATGAGTTTTATGACTTCCTTTTCATACACTCCCCAACAGGAGATGTGTAAATGTACTTTGCTGGAGCTTTATGTATGACAGCTTTAGTGGATCCACCCATGAGATTGTGAAAGAACAAGTCAGCCTATAATTTTCAGACAAAAGCCTGTAAGTACTTCATGTCAGACAAACTGTTCAATTTATTTTTTTTACTTCAGTTTTGTTTGAAATGTGGATCTGGTGAAAAATGTCAGATTGACAGCCATGGACAAGTCCTCTATTCACAGAACAGATAAAATATAGGAAGTGGTAGTGCGAGTTTTCCACAGAATGTCACACCAGTATATCTCATACTTGCCCTACAGGCAGCATCCTTATGCAGTGGAGAAGATTTCAGTATCAGAGGCCATTGGGAAGATGGCTCTCCACTGAGATACCAGTTAATGCTAACTGTAGTATTTGCTCTGTGATGGCAAGCTGTCCATTAGGACACAAACTGAGACCAAGGAGTCTAACATATTTTATTTCATATTCTGTATGAAAATATCCTTATGGTATGAATATGTCATAACTGAGATGTGATTTATGCAAGATAGTTCATGTAAGGTATCACTGGAAAGGTTATGATTCACTGAATATGATCATCCTATTTATATGCATGTATCATTTTTGTATTTGAAGTTAGAAACCTGTGTATTGGTATACCATATATGCTAATTTGGGTGAGTTCCACTGCCAACACTTCAGGTATTACAATGGAAAAGCCAGACAGGGCTGATGGCCTATCAGTAAGGACCATGGACTATGAAAAGGCTTGGCCTTCCTGTGTTCCATACTGCTACTGACTTATGGATGCTATAAAGTCAGGTGACCTGGTCACCTGATACTAACAACCACCTTCGTCTGAGTATTTTTCCACTGAGTGGTGGGGAATCAAACAAAGGATTCCCACCTTACTGAAATTCTACATAAGGCAGGGGAGGAAAACACTGATTGTTTTCAGTCTGCTCTTCAGTTTGCTGAGTGTACTCTCCATACAAAGAAACACTTGAAAACATCTGGAAACAAAAGGACTTGAATTGAGGTGGGGGGAAACTGCTGGACCCAGTCTAAAAAGGCTTATGACTTGTAAAAGACTAATTGAAACAAAATCTAGGGGGAGGAATTATTTGTAACCAGTTTCTTTAGTGAATTGAGCTTTGTATTATTTTATTAGTAATCTGCTTTATTCTGTTCGCTATCTTTTCAACCATTTAAAATACACCTTTTTTAGCTAATATAATTATCTCTGATTTATAGTATAACCCACTTGATATAATTTCTAACTGGAGTGGGGGGAGAGAAGTTGTGTATGCCTTCCTCCACATGGATGGAGGAGGTGAATTTCATATAACAGAGGGTTATTCACTTGGTGGAGTAACTGAAGTTCACAATAGTTGTCCCTGTGGGTGCTCCACCTTAGGTGTAGAAAATCATAGACTTTAGGTAGTAGTGCCCTCGTTCGATGCTGTTTTAAGCAGTTACTTTGCATGCATAGCCAACTATCTCTTCAGTTCCTTCTCCGGACATAGAGGATTCTGAAGCAGAGGGGAGAAAGGATGGGTGGTGTAACAGCCACAGGGACAACCATCTTGAAGAACCTCAGTTACCTCACCAGGTGAGTAACCCTCTTTTCTTCTTAGAGTAGTGTCCCTGTGGTACCCTTAGCGTACGTTATCTTAGGTGATTATGAAATAGTAGTCATGCTTGGTGGAGGGAGCTTCAGTAGACCAGGATTGGCTATAGAAAGTATTGTTCATCTGAACTATGTATTAGAGGTGGAATACATCTGTATGGCACAGTGGTTGGTGAATATATGTGCCGAAGCCCAGGTAGTGGCTCTGCAGATGTCTATTGGCATCTCTTGGAGGAAGGCTGTAGATGCTGTCATCAGTTCTTGTGGAATGAGACATATAGGTGTTGAGGGTTCCTGCTGGAAGATGATGTACGCTAAGTGTATGCACCTCGTGATCCATTTAGAAAGTCTCAGTTTCAAAATAGGTAGTCCCTGAGACCTCTCTGCAGTTGAGATGAAAAGCCTTGAAGACTTGCAGAAAGGTTTTGTGCATTGCAGGTAAAAGGTGATTGCCCTGAGGACATCTAATGTATGTAAGACTTCCTCTCTGTTGTCCCTATGAGATGTAGGATAGAAGATGGGTAAGTAAATTGGTTCACTGCAGTGAAATGAGGTACTGTAAGTACTTCTAGGAAAAATTTTAGGTGTGGGTGAAGGACTGCTAAAACTTTATGAAAGATTGTACAGGGAAGGTCCTCCAAGAGAGCTCCTAGCTCGCCTTCCCTATGTGTTGATCTAATTGCCACGAGAAAGGAAACCTTCAAGAAATGAAGCTATGAGCAGGTGGTCAGGGATTCAAATGGTTTGCCTGTTATTGCTCTCAATACTAAACTCTTGCCCCATGCTGAAACAGGATCCCCTCTTTGGGGAAACATGTTTTGGAGGCCCCTGAGGAAGCGCATGACTGATGGGTGTGCAAAAATGGAGTGGCCATCTCTTGAAAGATGGAACGCTGTGACTGCAGCCAGATGCACCCTGATGGAACTAAGGGAGAGTCTTGAGTGCTTTATACACAGCAGGTATTGGAGAATCTGTGGGAAGCCTGTGGATGTGGGTGAGCAATTCTGATTGTAGCACCATGCTGTGAAGCGGTGCCATTTGTCTTTCTTGTAGTAAGTAGGTCTACAGTTCATAATAACCAGCTGAAGTGGTACAGGACATGCCACTTCAAGAGGAGTCAACCAGTCAGCAGCCATGCCTGAAAGTGTAGGGTCTGTACACTGGGATGCCACAATTCTCCGTTCTTTTGTGAGAGAAGAGATGACACTGGTGGGAAGTGCCAAGGCAAAGCCAGGCCCATTTGTAACAGGTACGGGCACCAGGTATGTCTGGTCAATTGGTGGTGTTAGGATGACCCTGGCCTTGCCTTGTTTTATTTTGAGTATTACCCGCTGTGGGAGTGGGAAGAGGGGAAATGCATAAAATAGGGGTGCTTCCCACTTTATCATGAATGTGTCCCACAGAGAGTGATGGCTTATCCCTGCCCTGGAGCAATAGCGTGGGCACTAGGTGTTTCATCTGGAAGATTTCCTGAAAAAACGTGACAGTTTCTTTCTAGTGCTTCCTAAGCCTCAGCAGTAAAACTATTCTTCACAATAGTGTTCAATACAGCGATAAAACATCTATGTTACTTCATTTGTATCTTAACCATCTCTTAATTATTGCAGTAATAAAATTCTCAGTGACATCTGCACTAACATAATTGAGGTCTCCTATTAGGGAGTGGGCACGAACCAATGGCCATTTAAAAATTGTATTTCTCTTTATTTTTAAAAGCTTCCTTAAGTAAAGATCTGTGGACATGTAAAATTTGGAATGTCTCATTTTCAGAAACCATGGGACCATCATCCAAGTTTTAAACTGAGAGCTGACTCCAGTGCTAAAACAGATATCCTTGTCACAAAGCATTCAAGCACTGCACAGCCACGGGCAGCGGATTGTTTTGCATCCACTGGTGCCTTTGCTAAAGCAGAGACTCTCAATTATTTGGAACCTCTCCATTACCTGTCATGCTGGGTTCATTAACACTGCTAAATAAACAGCCATCCTAATTTTCCTGCCAGAGATAGCTAAAGGTGACATGCAATGGAAAAAACTATCCTTGTTGTGCACTGTTGTTTCGTGTGGTTTTTATGGTGGTAAGGAAGGCCTGAAAGGGGTTTTTTTCCCCCAGGAAAATAAGGCTGCATTTTTTCTTAATATTTTATTATTAGAAATTCAGGTCTTGACTATTTTGGCATATTCTATGATTGTAGAACTATCAGGGCATGCCTACACTAGGGATGTAAATGCGTAGTCAAGCACTCAACTACCTGATAAGGCAAAGCTTATTGGGTAGTTGAGTCGAGTACTCAATTACTTGCTCCCCTCCCCACCCCGTTGCCACTGTATGAAAGGCAGCAGGGATGGGAACAGGAGCTGGTGCTGGAGAAATCTGGCTTAAAAGCCGTTTCCTGCCAGCATCATCTCTGCAGTGCTGCCTGCCCTCCCCTCCCCCAACTGCTGCTGGAGCAGCCCGAGCCACCGTGAACAGGAGCTGCTGGACCCAGTGCGAGCCAAGACCAAGCAGTCCTGGCTCACGCTAGTCTGGGAGCACTGTGCCTCTGAATTTTAAATGTAGTAACAGCCGCCAGCCTCTTACTACATTTAAAATGTAAAGGTGCCGGCCCTAGGAACTACCCCTGCAGCGGCTCTGCAGAGCAGCTCCCCTTATTGACTAATTGTGTAGTCGATGCATATTGTATTGGCTACAAGATTAGCCAAATAACCACTTCTTAACATCCCTGGTCTACACTAGGAAATTATTTTGAAATAATTTATTTCAAAATAATAGCTTCCAAAATAACTATTTTGAAATAGCATGTTCACAGTACAGGGAAACCTCAAACTTAGTCCGAGGCAGGCTCCCTTAACGGGAACAATCTACTTCAATTTAGAGCCCTAGGAAGCACTGGGAACTAATTACTTTGAATGACTCTGGGGAGTAGTTATTTTGAAAAAGCAGTAGTGGAGCATACACACTACTGTTATTTCAAAATAACTATTTTGAAGTAAGCGTTATTCCTCATGGAATGCAGATGATTTTCTATCTGGAAACAAAATCCATATAGAGGCTACGCTCTTTTGATTCTCAACAGTAATAAACTATTTACCTTTCAGTGTGTAGGAATTGTAGACATGTTTTTCCCTGGGCAATATGCTCTCCTTCTGGCACAGTCTCATAAGGTTGGTATCCAGAATTTACATCAGATAATTCAGGTGAATGTCTGTAGCTTTCATTCTTTCTCCACCATAAAGGCAGAAAAATCCACATTCCCAGCCTCTATTTCTATCAGCTCTATTTCTATCAGCTGTGATCTAGCTCTGATCTTTCTTTCTTCCCAAATCAGGAAGCACTAACCAAATAAAACTAACAGACGTTTCTCACTTTGCATGCAAGCGCTAGAACTATCTCAGAACATAAGGTGAGGTACATCCTATGATAATTGCACTTTTTTTCTTGGAGACAAGAATACATAGATCCATCCAACATATGTATATTCTCAGCTCATACATTCTTTTCTCTTTAGATTAGGTCAAAAAGGAGACAGCTGAACTAGAATTCATTTGCAAATTCAACACTATCAATTTAAGATTGAATAAGGATTTCAACTGGTTAACACATTACAAAGGCAATTTCCCCTCTCTGGATATTCACATCTCCATATCAAAAGCTGTGAACGAGTCTCTTGCACCCTGACTTGATTAGCCTCATTAACACAAGCAACTTCTTCTTTATATATACCCCGCCTCTGTTACTTCCACTCAATTCATCTGATGACATGGACCTACCCATGAAAGTTTATGCCCTAATAAATAGTTAGTCTCTAAGGTGACACAGGACTCCTTGTTGTTTTTACAGTAAATACAGTGAGGCAAGAGATGGCTGTTGAATTTTGAGTAAAATACCCTTTCTTGCAGAATATCTTTTGCATTACTCAGGCACTTTAGGTGGGTTAATGTCAGGGTTTTCATTAATGGCCAAATATGGCTCTACCTTTTACAATAGAAAATATATTTGAAATCCATGTTACACAATTAGAGTCAGCATATTATGGTCTATGCATGGAAGCCTGGAAATCTTGAGTTTTAATTCCATATCAGCCACAGATTTATTGGCAGCACTTACCACACATATCTGCTCCTATTGAACCTGTAGGAAACCTTCCCACTGACTTCGGTGGAAAAAAGATGTGGCCTTTATTGTCTCTACATATGAATTTCGCAACCTGTAAAAGGAGGATACTTAACTTACTTTCCAGGGCATTTTGTGAAGTTTGGTTAATTTAGCACTGAAAATATAAAAATGTTACAGATTAAAGATATACAATATAACCTCTGAGACTAAAATCCTGCAAAGATCTATGCAGTGTATAAAATTAAGCATGGGCATAAGTCTTTGCAAAGTGAGGACATAGGTTTGTATGGTGAGCCTTTAGGGAGAGTTGGAGTAAGCATAAGAGGATTTATAATGCTGAAAGTTATGGTGAACAGCTAAGATTTATTACATTTATAAATGAAATTGTGTATTGCTGCAGACTGCTAATGGCCTAATTCAATTTCCACTGAAATCAACGGGAACTGAACTGGGCCTTCATTAAGATAACACCATGGGCTCACTGTAAAGAACTAGCTATCTGAAGAGGCAACTGGGAACAGAACACGGACAGAAATGACTGAAATGATAACTAACATGAGCAAATGAATGACTTAACAGCACAATTCAGTCAAAGCAGTTTGAAATCTGGCCCAGCCACACTTATTAAAAAAAAAAAAAAAGACTGACTGTCAAGTTTTACACTTCTAGGTAACTTAAATATAGAATATATGTAGTCTGCACATGAAAGTGTCAATTAGCAATAGGTAACAAGTGCACAGCTATTAACAGACTGTGGCAGCATAGTGTTAGTCAGCATTTGCAGGTTCCTTTAATCACATACTTATCAGATGGAGAACAGTATACAGTAATCTTTCTACTAAACTACATCTCTATAGCAGTTCTGACAATGGCTGGCACTTCCTCTTGGAGGCAAAAAAGTGAAAAATTCACACATAGAGAAAAAATAAAACAAACAGCACAGTGATAGTATTTGCAGAATAAACTGAGTACATCTTTTATGTGAAAATTAAATAAGCTATGCTGAACATTAACAGAAGTTGAAATGTATCTTAACTGGCATAAAATATAAACATTGTGGGCTTCAAAAGTTCACCTCTTTAGGACAGAGCACAGTTTTGTTGACTGCATAACTTGCAAAGACTGCTACATTTAATGATGACACTATATTGAGTGTTAAATACAAGGAGATCAGAAACCTGCAGATTTCAATCAGGTGACTTGTCAGCTGGCACAAACAGCTTATTATATAAGGGTATGTCTACACTGCCACCCTAGTTCGAACTACAGTGGCTAATGTAGGCATTCGAACTTGCAAATGAAGCCCGGGATTTAAATATCCTGGGCTTCATTTGCATGTTCCCGGGCACCGCCATTTTTAAATGCCCGTCGTTCGAACTACCTGCCCACGGCTACATGCGGCACAGACTAGGTCGTTCGAATTAAAGCTCCTAATTCGAACTACTGTTAAATCTCTTTGCAGGAGGAATAATGGTAGTTTGAATTAGGAGCTTTAATTCGAACTACCTAGTCCGTGCCGCGTGTAGCCACAGGCAGGTTGCTACAATGACCTGACATCTGCTCCAGGAGCTGCATGGCAGGTAGGGAGCCCCTGCTGTTCTGCTGATTGGACTTTAACAGCCTGATCAGCAGTGCTGACCAGAGCTGACAAGGTCTCTTTTTCATCCAGGTGTTCTGGTCAAAAACCAGATGCCAAGCAACCCCATCTTTACCCAACACCCTCTTATCCTTTCACAGGCCTCAGTCTAGCAGACATCACTTTGATTCATGGAGTCTGTGCGACTCCTCAGAAAACTGCTAGCATTGGGCAGAGGGGCTATTTTGCAGCACAATGCACCCTCTCCCTGGAGGGCTCTCCTAGCTCATTCCAGAACTCATCACATCCCTGGTTCCTGCTTCATGGCAGCCGGCTGCTGCTCTAGGAATGGCCAGCCTGCATAGATGAGCAGGGCTGCTTCGTGGGCCGGGGATGCTTTGGAGGTGGCTAGGCCATGTGTGGGTACAGGGCTCCTCCCGGGTTTGGGGCTGCTCCAGAACTGGCCAGGCTGCAAGGCAGAGCATGGCTGCTCCAGGGGCCATATCTCTTTTAAGAAGGCAAACATTTTATTGGGTTTTGAGGCTTGCCAGTATTTTTTTAGATACATTTATTCTATCCATACTACAGACCTATGAAACTGCTATATCAAATTTACACAAGTAAGAACCGATCAACCAGTTGTAGGCTTGTGAAAACTGAAATGATAGCCCTGAAAAATGTATAGGCTCCCCACAGAATGGGTTCAGTGCTGGCAGTTGTACTGCTTGTATCCCCCTGCCCAAAGCTGCATTGGCCCCTGGGCACCTGGGTACCATGGAACAGACTCCCAGGGGTCACCCAGCCGCCCACCTTCCACATTTCCCTGAACCGCCATCCCAAGCCACCTGACGCCATCCCATGTCCACCGTAAGATTGGAGCCAGTGGCGGGAGGAAGCCCCAAGGCTCAGAACTGCATCCAGCCTCTGGGAAAGTGTGCACGTGCTGCTCCTCTTCTCCCCTCCTCACAGGAAAAGCTGGAGCAGAGACTAGGGCAGGAGATCAAGCGGGGGGCACAGGGTGGAGAAAGCCCCTTCCCTTCTCCTGGGAGAGCAGCACAGCCCAGGGCAGGAGGGTTAAATCTTAGCATACCACTTCAGAAAGGTTGCCGATCCCTGATCTAACAAATATTAAGTACACCTGGGAGGTAGACATTAAAGACTGTTAATTTTTATATTTAATGATACATACATAATAATATATGTTGCACATATATAGTACCTTCCAGCTGTGGATCTCAAAGTACTTTATGTACATTAATAAATCAAACCTCCTAGCCTACATATGTATTTTCTCAAGAGAGGTAAAGAAACAATTTTCAGACACTAATAACTTGCCATTTCAATTTACTTCAACTGCAACACTGTGTGCCCAGTTACGCCTTAACTATATTGCCCAATAAACCAAAATTGAGCCAGTAGAAAAGACAGAAATAAAATATATAAGTTCTGATACCAACCAAGTCCACTGTGCTAACCAGTACACATACTACCTCTTTTTTTCTAATATCCCCATTAGTTTTTTAGATCCAGCATAATCAGCGATGCTGTTCACATCACTCCTACCTTCAAAACACCTTTAATTAGCTCTCAATCCATGAGAGGTCCAGTTCAAACACCCTACTTTATATTTAAGCCTATTCTGATGATGTCATTAGTAAAGCCATGAGCTGGCATTTTTGGCTTACAATTCAACACTTTTTCATAGTATAGATAGCAAGTATTTTGTATTTTTTTCTCTTCCTGCATCCAAGGGCAAAGGTCCAACACAAACATATAAGCTAACATTTGTGCTTTTGAAAGGAGTAATTCAAAACCATATCAGCTTCATAAATTTAAGGGACAAGAGGGAATTCCAAAATCACGGGGCACAATTGTCACAGTTGTGCACCTCTCAACATAAGCTTAAAATTCTGACGTTTTGCAGCATGACCTTTGGATATCCATGTAAAACTGATAATATCCTGGACTGAAGCTGGGGGGGCCGGGACGGGCCGGGGGGGAAGATTGACTATAACAACGCCAATGGTAATTTCTGTAATTTACATGGTAGAGGGGAAAATGATTTAGGCTATCCAGTATGGAAACAGAACAAAGTTTTAAGAGGTTAAGTTCAGAACATACTGTACACAGCAATAACACTCTTATGGAACCTTGTTAATTTCAGATTTGAATGGTCATACCAAACTTTTGAAGCATAGTATGCTGACATACTTTTTCCATCCTCTCCTGGGCGATCTCCACTGCAAGCAAAAGAAGTCCAATAACTTATGCCAATATGATAGTACAATATAATCTCAAAGTTACGAACTTACCAGCCAACCACATACCTCATTTGGATCAGAAAATCAGAAGTACACAATCAGACAGCAGCAGAAGCCCCCTCTCCCTAAAAAAAAAAAAAGTATTGTGTTAAACAGAAACTACTGAAAATATAAAAGGAAAGTTTAAAAAAAAATAATTTGACAAGGCAAGGAGATTTCCTGAGCTTGTTTCATTTAAATTGAAGTGACTGAAAGCAGCATTTTTCTTTTGCAAAATGAAGTGTCAAAGCTGTTTTAGGTCAATTTTCAGTTGTAACCTTTTGAAAGATCAACCTTAATATTTTGTTCACAGTTGAACGCTCTCTGTCCATGATATTTCTGAGATTCTACTATAATGCTGTTAGGTATTTTGGTATAAAATACACACAATTTGTGTTTGTATATTACGGGAGCCCTCTGTTTACATTTCACAGTAAAACTCTAGCATGTAATGGTAATTTCTGCTTCCCAGTGCCCAAAAACTCATTATGGTTTTCCAGGATAGAGGGAAGTGATGCGTATGCTGCAAGATGTGGAAATAGTGGACTAGATTTGAATTACAAGTGCACAGGATACACTGTTGCAAACCTCTACCGTGCAAACCGTCCAACACGCTAGCCAGTAGATAGTTGTTTAAACAATGTGGCTATTTGACTGATTGAGTTTGCTTCAGAACTGGTTGGACATCATGGCTCTAAAAGCACTCATGCTCATGAACATGCACCTGAAAATAGGTTTAAAGATGTGTGAACCAATTGAATAAAAAAACATTGCCCTTCCTGCCCCAACAAATCTTTACACCAAAACTGAACTGTTTTGATCACTTCTCCTGCTTGTCTTAGAGAGCTGAGAGATCTATAGTTCCTCCATCTCTTATCAACCCTAAGGCATAAGTTGTACTGATGCTTTATACTGTTTTATCTTTAATGGGTGGGAGACTAGTCCTCCAATCCTACCTCTTCAGCAGATGTTGGCTCACCTTCTCTATCATTTGATTTTTGAGGGAAATGGGGAAAAGGGATTGGGTAGAAATTGTTGGCCCAATCAATTATTTCCCCTGAAATCCAAGATGCCAAAAAGGAAATTCATGGGTTATGGAGCATTTAAAACAGATCCTAACTGTTGCACAAGTCAGATTCTATCCCTTCCTAGTCAACAGGGAGGGACTCCTGAGTAATGGCTTTCTTGTAATTAATTCATTGTTTTTAGGAAACTACTTTTTCCTGTCAGTTTTCAAGCCCAGAGGAATTTTCTAGATCCACAGTGACAGAGCATGAGTAACCGTTCCTTTAAACAACTAAGAGAATTATAAAAGAAAACAAATTGTTCATCTCCCCAGTGTTTTTCCTTTTTTGCTTTCCCTTTCCAAGCCTTGTAGTATCACAAACATCCAAAATATCCAAGTGATGTAATCTTTAGTCAGTACCCTAAAGGAAACAACATGTCCTCAGCATGTTGCTCAATTGTCTGATATTTTCTTGCAGTCATTTATTTGTGATGGAGGGCAGTTTAAGTTGTTGTTTTTAAATCAAGAGCCAGATATGCCTGAATGCAATGTGTGCATTCAAAATCAGACATTAAGCACTGATGTGGTGCATATGAATCGAATATGCTGTCTTGCAATCCTAGATGCACCTATTGTCTTTGTGCCAAATACTTTACAAAGTCACCAGCCTGGGCAGCTGAGTGGTGCAATGGGGAGATCTGTGAGGATGTGTAGGACAAGAAAAAATCTGCTCTCCACTGTTGGGTAGAGCTCTATGGATACCACAGCACCATCACTGTGGCAACACCCCCTGCTGCTAAGCTATGCCCCTCTGTAGGAAACAATATCCAGAAGACCCATCCTGCCCACAAGTTTCCTGGATACCAAGGTACAACTTTTCTCCTCTTCTCTGTGTAAGTTCCCAGCATTCTCCCACACCCACCTGCACAATGGAACTATGCAGTTCCATTTTTTCAGGGCTATCTCTTCCTTTATAATAGGATAGATAGCTTGATATCTGGGAATCAAGGTGTCTGATAGATTTCTTTATAACCATGAAAGTATCTCGTTGAAAAGCCACATTTTCAACAGCAGCCTCTAAGAATGCAGTCACAAGTCTCAACCCCTGAGTTTTTTGCCCACAAGAAAGCAGTTGATTCTCACTGTGATGGGTTTTTGTATGTACAAGAACCCAGACACCTGGCATTGTACTCACTATTTCAGAGACCAAGCTGAGGTCCCTTTGAAAATTTTATTCTCTTTCTTCTGAACCAATCTCCAGAGGGTAGGTGTATCCTGTGCGGTGACTCAGATCTCTGGAGAATGGAGAAGACACAACAAATAGGAGAACTGTTTCCAATGTCCATGGACTTGAGAGAGAGAAAAAACAATACCAAAAACAACGTCAAAACTCTGAACTGTGGTTGTTAAGGGTTAGTAATACTCATACTATACAGAACACTTTATACCCCGAAAGCCTCACACAAGTGCTTTTGTTACACATCTTGAAAAGTGTCATTTATTTTATGGAAATTATTGCTCCTTTTGCCTAAATGAAGTTTGGAAAGCAGTAAAGAGAAAACCTTCTTGGATTGCGCTGGCATTTAAAACTGAAAGATTTGAATTCTCTCCTGTAGTAAGCACCAAAAAGCAAATGAGTAAGATAAACTTGGAGTTTCAGACCACAGCTCACAACATGTTTTGCAAAGTGGTGAGAAGCCCTATTAAACCAATCAGACTCATTGATCTCACAGATTTCTCCAGGCCAATGCTAGAAAAGAAAACAGCTGAATGTTTAGTTCCCCAATAAATGGAATTATTGGTACACTATTCAGTCCAGCTCTGGTTTGGAAGCTTTGAAGTGACAAGTCCAGAAGCTTGAAATGTGCAAAAGGACAGTAGAAAATAAAGTAAATAAAACCAATGGGAGTTTGGTGATTAAAGAATAAGTATCTCTTTCCAACACTGTATTTTTGTCATAAAAAATTCAAATAACTTTAGTTGGGAGTCTACTTTTCTGCACCATCTTTAAGAAAGACCACAGCTGTGCTAATGAAAATTGCTCTGTAACAATTTAATGGCTGGTTTCAATAGACTTACTGTGTAGCTGATACATTGGCAACATCACAACTCGGATGAGGTTGAATGCTTGAAAAGAGTACAACTTAAGTGAGACAAATAAGAGGAGACTTGATAAAGATATACAAAATAATTAATGGAAAAGAGATAAGCCAGCCACTCCTATTCATTCTCTTAAGAAAAGCACAAGAGAATAGTCAATAATATTTATTATTATTATTATTGTTATTAATAAGATAGAGCTTAATGGCCAACCATATTGAAAATGACAGCCCTTGCTCTCAAGAACTTACAGTATAAAGTGGAAACTCACTTTAAAATATTGTTTATATAGTGCATAATTAAACTACGGAACTGAATGCTACAAGAATCAATTGAGGCAAAGACTTTTATGCGATTAAAAAAGATTAATTTAATTGATAATGAGAACAGCCACATGTATTACACTAGATAGGATGAACAAAGTAGAAATCCTTATACTTCAGGGCTTAAGTCAACTGCCAATTGCCTATATTTGGTATATTTTCCTTGTGGGAAAATTATTAAATAATTATCACAATGATTCTAAAACCTCTCCAGGAAGGATCTGATACTAGCCACTGTTGGTGGCAGGCTATCAAACTAGACAGGAATTACTGTTTTGAGCCAATGTTGCAAGTCTTGCGTTCTTAGGAGGTAATTTAGTTGTTGCGTATACTTCTGTTTTTGAAACACTTGATTTACTGAAAAAACAACGTTGGAAAGCATTTCCAAAATAGCCTTATCCAAGATAGATCAGCAGATGGATCCTTGTTTAAAATACAGACTGAATGATAGATTTGATAAATTTCAGAATGCGCTCACCTCCACTTCCATTCAGAAATGCAATTCGCAAGCACACTTAACTCATGAATTAAAACCTTTCACAAAGGTATACTGCACATTTAAAATCTCGGCAGGAACCTAATGGAAAATGTCACAGAGAGGCTAGCAGAAAATTGGCAAATTAAAAACTAAAGCAGAATTTAATTAGGCGTTACAGTATCTTTGATTGAAAGTCCATCCTTTTTTTTTGTACTTCTGAAGCAACTCTTTAATATATCACAGAGCAATGGCAGAAATAATTAAAATTTTTATTTTATAATAAATTACATGTGGTGGTTAATAAATTTGTTTTCTAAAATACAGGTTGAACCTCTCAAATCTGGGACTCTCTGGTTTGGCAACATCTATGGCCTGGAAAGGCCATGTATGTTGCCGGTCCAAAGAGCCCTAGGAGCAGAAGCCAACTGGGAGAACGTGGGGTATGTGATGTCCTGGCTGGGCCAGCAGCAGATAGGTAGGAGAACCCCAGCATTAGTGGGGCCAAGAGGCATTGGGGAGACTCAGCTTTGGCTGGGGAACCTCCCCCCATTAGTGGGGTTAGGTGGCCAGAGAGTCCCTGGCAGTCGGCCAGCGGCAGCCAGGCAGCCTTGGCCAAGGAATCCCAGAAACCCTCTGGCAGCAGCGGGTCTGTGATGGCCAGGCAGCCCTGACTGGGAAACCGCTGGTGGCAGGGGGCCCAGGAATGACAGCTGGGGATTCCTGGTGGCAGGGTGAGGCAGCAGCCAGGAAGTCCAGGCCCCAGTAGGGGAATCTCCAGTGGTCACCCTGGCTGGGGATCCCCAGGAAATGGTCACCCTGGCTGGGTATCCCCAGCAAACCCATGGTGGCAGTGGGGCCAGGGGTGGCTGGATGGCCCAGGTCCAGGGAATCCCGAGGAACTCCGAGAGGTAGTGGGGGCTGGCAGTAGGTGGGTGGCCCTGGTTGGGGAACTCCTGGGAACCCCCAGAGGCAGCAGGGTGGGGAGCCCCAGCTTTGAGAGCCCCAGGGGAAGGAGCCAGAAGCAGAGCAGCCAGCAGGGGAACACTGACCTCCCCAGATCTGGCAAACTCCCTGGTCTGGGATGGCGCAGGTCCCAAGGGTGCCGGACCAGGGAGGTCCAACCTGTCGCAATAAGTATAGGAAGTATGGACAATGAATGGGCCATATTCATCCTGGTGTAACCAAACTGACCACTGGTCCAATTAGTTTCTTCTGGACAAATGGCCAATTCAGCACAAATATTAGCTTCAACTACACTCCAACACTTCCTTAAAATTTAGTGACATGATTACCACTGTAAAGATGTGTGTGAAACTGTGGTGTAGTGTTCACTTATAATAATGCTCTGATTTAAAAAAAGTACTTATAATATGATTTATTATAGGCAATAACATAGTGATCTAAAATTAGCAGGTAACAATGGACATACTGGGTCAGACAAGTGGTCCATCTAGTTTAGTATGCTGTCTTCCAACGATGGCCAATGCCAGATTCTTCAAAGAAAATGAACAAAACAGGACAATTAAAGTAATCCGCCCTCTCCCATAGGACACGTCTGCACAGCAGGACTAAAGGTAAATTAAGCTATGCAACTTGAGCTATGTTAATTGTGTAGCTTAAGCCAAAGTAGCTTAATTCAGCTTTTGGCACTGTCTACACCAGTGGTCTCCAACCTTTTGGGGCTGCCGGGTGCCTGGGGGCGGGGCCGCATGTGCATCGCATGACCGGGGGCAGGGCCATGCATACGCCACACGCCTGGGGCACAAGAATGGCTTGGTCTGGCCCAGATCACTCAGCGGGCGCACATAGGTGCCCCAGCAAGCGCCATGGCACCCCTGGGCACCGTGTTGGGGACCACTGGTCTACACAGCAGGAAGAAACTACTCTTACTCCTTGTAAAACGAGGGTTATAGGAGTCAGAGAAAGAAGTCCTCCAGCTCGCCATTATATCAAAATGATGGCTTGCAGTGAAGACACAATATTTGTTATTTCGAAATAACATTAGTAGAGAATTAGGACCAAGATGTTTGTGAAGCATTTTGGGGATTTTTAAGGGGTGAAAGGTGTTATTACCTTCTTAGTGTGTGTCACTTATACTGAATCTGGAAATGTAACATAGGCCTAGAGAGTTTCTTTTGTAACATAAGGTGAAGGATTGCTCAAGACCAGGATGATATACAAGTATGGCATGTTAGAAAAGAGGGTTACTACACAGACGGGAAGTAGGAATCACAAGGTTAAGAGGCAAGCATCCAGAAATGGATTCCAGAGTCATGAAGCAGGCTACATGACTCAGCACAGGAAGACCACTTGCCCACTGATGGCATATCAAAACTAAGAAGTCAGGAAAGCAGCTGGGCATTCTGGATGGATAAAAAAGTGTCAGGCAGCAGCTGAGAACAGCAGGAGAGATGGCATGAGGGAATGAAATAGAAGTCACAGATGTCCATTCTGTTAAACTTATATACATCCTAATTTTGTGAGGTGTTAAGCTCCCCCAACTCCTACAGGGATGAAATGGGAGTTTGAAGGCTTAGTACCACACAGAATTAGGCCCTTGCACAATAAGTTAAGTATATATTTTTAAATTTCACATATTTTTACAGCTGGGTAATTTTATTTATTTAACAGGAGATCACATGGCTTGTACAGTGTAATACAGCGAGTGGGTAAGAGCATCCTGCTTTCGGTTCCAGTAAACCATGAGGTAGCCTTAAGAATGGGAGTCATTAAACAACTCATATTACCAATTCCCATTTTCAACAGCCTCCAAAACTTACAATGTTCACATAACAGAAGCAGAGGCTGATAACAGTATTTTACTTTTGGACAAAGTCCCAATTTCAGTAGATCCAGTTCTCAGATAAGAGAAATTAGGCTTGTAAATACAGTTGCTACACTGATCTTACCAGATATACATCCAAATAGCAGAAAGCAAAATCAAATCTTTAAAAGTTATAGCCTGATGTATCAGTTAGATTGTGACAAAAGAAAAATAAATTGGACGCTTACTGGAAACATGGGATGAATTTTATGAAGCTCTCCTAATAAATACTGGTAGAGGGTCAGATCCTCAGTTGGTTGAAGTCAATGGAGGAATGCCAATAGACACCAGCTAAGCATATGGATCACAGGGTTTAGAGAGGTTTTAATTTATAATTGTTTCTAAAGTAGTTTGACAGGGAACATGTTCTGGTGGTTCAGAGCATAAGGCTGGGATTCTATTCTTAGTTCTGCTAGTAACTTTCTGTATGGATAACTCACTTGGCACCAAAGTATTAAAAAAGTTGAACTCGAAGACATATGAATGACATGATGAGATTTTCAGAAGTGTTCAGCAGCCAACAGCTGTCACTGAAAACAAGGACTGAGCACAATTGATACTGCTTGCGGCTAAGCACTTCTGAAAATCTATCCATTAATGTAGAAAAAGGGATAATATGCAGTTATTTCATTCAGTATTCTTAATTCAACTTCGTTCAGAGAACAAGTATAAAGATGTGATTTTCCCCAATACTATTATTCCTATTAATCACTTACATTGTGGTAGGTTCTAAAAGGCTCAATTATTCAGGACCCTGTACAAAGATAACAAGTGACAGTCCTTACCTTAAAAAGTTTATAATTCAGGTTTTTCAGGGTTCCTTTTTTCAAAATTTATTTTTAGCAATTTTTGAACGTTAGATATGCAAAAATCAGGGTTTTTCTGGGCTTTCATTGTATATATTGTAATGATAACGTACATTATATATAAAATACATTACCATAAGGGGAAATCTCATTGTAATGTTCTCTAGTGCACATTAACACAGTACTGTTTCAAACAGTAATTTAAAACATAGTAGGGAATCTTTAGTGAGCACCAGCCAGGTTTATGAGACCAATAAATGACAACACAGTGTAACTTCAGAAGTGTACTGCTGTATTCTTCATTACAGGCAGTCCCCGAGTTACGCGGATCCGACTTATGTCGGATCCGCAGATACGAACGGGGATTTTCTCGCCCCGGAGGACTGGAGCAGCGGGACGCCTGGTCCCGCCGCCCGCCTCCTCCGGGGCGAGAAAAGCTGCTCCCCATCTCCCTGGTCTGCTGGGGGAGCCAACAGACCAGGGAGACGGGGAGCAAAGCTGCGCAGGACCCGGGGCCGGACCCGCGGCC